CCGTCCGTTTCTCCGCCGGTGTGCGCTCCGCTGAGCCCGGCGAAGCTCTTCGCTCTTAAGCGCTGCTCCGGGGCGTGCGGAGCCTCCTCCTCTCAGCCAAAACTTGTCTGGAGCGATTCAGTCCCGCGGAGAGTTCTGCAAAGTTCCGGGAAGTGCGGGGAAAATACGGGCTATCTTATTGGCTTCGGGTTGCTTTTTGATTGTGTAACTCTGCCAACTAAAAGGAGTATTCTCTAGGCGATGAGATTTTCGTTATCGCCTGCCTTTTATGTCTCTCGCTTGGTTTATCTGCAGTTCCCATCTCGACGGCGTTTAAAGGTAAAAGAGAATCTCGGGCTAAAAATATCCCGTCGAAATAGGTGCGCTGATAGATGACTTTGCACTTGGTTCTGAAAGTGGTCAGACATGTCTGATAAGATTAATAGATTATCAGGTCAGAAGGACTGTTGCAATCATCTAGTCTGACCTCTTCATAATGCAGGCCATAGAACTTTTCTTTCCCCCCCCAATCTGTGTTTGAAAATAGAGTTTACATTTTAGAAGGTGTAGTTAAAAATTTCCCATGAGCCAAAATTCAGCGCAGTTCTTAGTAAAGTATACAAGTGACTGATTTATGTTGTATTTTTGATATGAAGAAGGCTGTCTTTAGTTTCTGGCCACTGAGTCTTGTTTATAGCCTCATCCATGCTGAAAATATGTCGAGTATGAATTCTTATGAATTCTAATTAATTTCTTGCTTTACTTATTTTTCTTAATAAAAATAACATAATCTTTTGAAGTTTGTTGCCAGAGATTTTTTTTTTCTTTTTTCTCTTTACTTTAGTTATTCTCCCAGATTTCTTTCAGATTTCCTCCAAGTTGTCAATTTCCCTTCCTGATTTGTGCACGTTGCATTTGAGATGCAGTGAGAAGATCTCAGGAGCTCCCTGGGATGTGAGTGAGGCTGTACATTCCCTGTTTCACAGAGAATTGCAGCTTTTTGGCCTTGCCCCGTCAAGCTCTTTAGCCAGTTTCTCTGAGGAGCTGCCTGCATGGCAAAGTAAGGTCTCCATATAATTCTTTCCAATTTTTCTTCCTGACCACTGAAGTGCTTTTGGTCGTGTTGCTATGTTGATTTCAGTGGAAGTCAGTGACCTGTCCTTTCTGTATTGCTTTTGCCAGCTCTCATCACCTCTTGAGGGTCATGCCAGCTGTTTGGAGGTGATTTGGATTTCCCAGGTCATTTAAGAATAGGTAGTGCAGAAGCAGAACTTGGATTTTACAGGATTTTCTTTTTTGATATTTAAAATAATCCCCTGGTTTTACAACACATCTTGCAAATTCTTTTTAATCGCTACTGTGTTAATGCAGTCTTAAATGTACATTTTGGGAATTCTTTAGAAGCAATGGCATGGAGAAAAATCCCAAGAAAAGTACCATGCAGTAGCTCATTAGATCGCTGCCTGCTGCCTATACCAGTCAAATTAGTATTACTGCATCCCTGTATGATATGGCAGTATTTATACTATGGTTCAGGAAACAACGTGGAGAAAACTTTGTTTTAGTTCTTTGAAATTTCATCTCCACGTTCTATACATGGTGACAAATGATGCATTTAAAAATTTTTGGTTGAAACATTTAAACTTTTTCTTTAACTGTACCAAGAACAGGGAAAATACTGAATAATGAATCCTATTTTGTGCTTGAAATTCTCCTGAACTAGCTTCTTTGGGTTCATGTCATTTTAACAAGAATTAACATAGCCTGTCTTTGGCCAGATTTAAGGATTGAAACCATGTTGGAAATGAGTGGAGTCTGGGCTTTAGGTGCTTGTGAGTCTTTGTATGGATGGAGTTGCTGAGGAATGGGGCTGGAAGAGTCATTCCTGTCACTGCCAAGGCTTGCAGCAGCCTGGAAGGAAATTGTGGAGGTATATGGAATATGCTGTCCATGCCCTCGACTTGTGTTACAGATCACATCACATTTTTCACAGTGGTGTTTCTGATTGCGGTTGACAGGTAGTCATCTTAACAACTGAAGCTGCATTAGCCTGATGTTAAATTAAAAAATGTGTGTCATGTTCATCTGGTACTTGCTTGAAAAGAATTCAGCCTTTAGGTGATACAGATGACAATATTTCATTCAAATCTCATAGTTATGCTCTTGCAGGCTGTGTCATGGCAGGTTTTGTTCCCTTTGTGTGGAGAGCCATGTTCACAGTCTCAGCTCATCAAAATGATTTCTCCTCCCTACAAGCATTGCTCCTGTCTTCCTGTGCTTCACTTCAGCCATCTGGTTTTTATCCTGCTTCTTATTTCTTGCAGGCACTGTTTTGTCTGTGCAATGCCTCTATTCTTATCAACTCAAAGGAAATGTGTGGTGAAGTGTTGCAAAGACATTTCTACCAGGCCTGCTGTGACCTAACTCTTGCCATGGAATAGGATATGGTGGATTGGGATGGAAGCTGATGGAAATCACTGGCATCCCTCTGGTACCTAAGCAGGGACACATTGGGATACTGCAGCCTGGTAGGAGGGGCTGAGGGGATGCTCCTGACCCCCAGACCCCTTACACAGCCTGTCAGCATCAGAAGGAATTGCTGCTGGTTCTAGGAGTGCACTGCCACTTTTGGCCTTTTACTATAGTGTCAGAAAACCCCACCTCTGTGCTTAAACCCTCTTTTGGCCAAAAGCTCTTGAACAGCAGATAAGGTGTGCCATGCTTACTTGCTGCTTGCTCAGGAATTATTGAGTATTCAGAAACCAGCTGATGTGTAATAGTGTGAGAAACTGTTGTAATTGCTTGGAAGGAGATGTGAAGACACCTGATAATGGATGAGGTTTCTGGTTGAGTTTCTCTGACTTGGAGGTACTCATTTAAAAAAGGATTTTTACTAGTGGAAAGATCTCACTGTTCTTGTTCTGTTTTTACCACAGCTCTAAGATTCAAATCTGCTACATGTGATTAAAAGTCAATCACTATTACTTTGTTGTTGATTTAAATTTTATGGTGATTGCCATAGTCTCTGATGTTCCTTTATGTCTGTATCCATCTCTGTGCTACCCAAGCATATGGGATTTTATGTCATTTAATTCAATATGGTTCTTTACAACAGATAGCACTGGCATTGTTAGTGTGGCCTGTAACAGCTAATCTAAGATAAAGAGTTAGTTCCTGTGATAGTTTGTTTGCAAACTTACATAAATGGGAGACTTACACTTTTATGATAAATGGTTATGATGGGTTTTTAAACTCATTTTTGCATAGCTGTCAAACTAATGCTTATTGTAACAGCTGTGTGATAATTGTGTTTTAGTTAAGGCTCAATTTTAAATTCTAATGGGTTTTTGCATAGCTATAGGAACTCTGTAAGTGCAGAGTATTTTAGAAAAGATGAGAACACTTTCTTTCATCAAATGAAATTGTTCTGAAAGGTGAAACCAATGTTTATTGTTAAACACATTCTACAGAAAGTTCCCTATGGCGTAGTATTTCAAGTGT